GTGTGGTTGTATTACCCACCCACAGTTGCGCATACTACTACTCCAATAGCGAGGTGTCCGCTACACAACAGCCGAGCAAACATATTATATATACATACACTCAATATACATATTACATATGCAGTGCGCAGTAATTTCCTTCTTTGCATTCCGGCTATTTCCACTTCATCGCTATTCGCAATAGCTAGCAGTCAGTACACATGCATTCTACTATTTGAATGCACGGAATATATACAAACATTTATCTACAAAACATATATACGTACATACATACCTGTACTCAGAAGCGCTGAGACAGTGCTGTCCTACATTATTACGCCACCCAAAAATAACGAACGCTCCAAATGAATTGGGACAGAGCAAATATTTAAAAAATAAAAATATAAAAAAAAAATTAAAATAAATAATTTTAAATTTAATAATATTATAATAAAATAATATTACAAATAAAAAACCATTAAAAATTAAACATTATTTTAAATAAAAAAATATTATATAAAAAAAAATATTAAAAAAAAATTTGTTTAACACATTTCCGGTTTCCATTACTCCAACTCAAAATAAGATGCCGGACGATAAACTCTTAACAGTCCCACGCACACGGTTCAAATATCAAGCAGAGGAGGAAATCTCACAATTACACAGAAGATTCCTTCATGGACTCTCAACAATGGAGAAATTCTGCGAGAAGTGGTGGAGCGATTGTAGTACTCTTCAAACGGCGGTAGCAGTCAGGCATTACAAGGATCATCTGGATATGCTAACAGATAAGGTGGACACAACTCACGGTGGATGAGAAAACTCGGGCTATGTGCGCAGAGGAGTACGAGACATCATTCAACAACGCATTGCTGACGAAAATACGGATAAGTGAAGCATTTGAAGGATTTAACAAACCAGAACCCCCTATATCAACAAGCCAAGCGCAACCCACAGCGCAATCTAAACCCCACCCCAATTCACTTCACTACCATAAAGTACCTGCATGTGACACAAGTCCATTTTATTGAGGTTATGAAGAATGGCCGGCCTTTCGAGACCTTATCACTGCAGTCTATATAGAACGTGCAAAAGTTGCTTTACCTGAAGACGAAGACACGAGGAGAAACAGCACGGGTAATTCAATAGTATTCGTTAAGCGACTTAAATTTTGAGCTTAGCGTAGATAACCACTTAGATACCCTACTATATCTCAAAAAAATCCCAGTGAAGACCGCGGAGCAAATTCAAAAGCTGCATCTTACGATAACAAACAGTCTCTCAATCCTCAAATCTCACCAAATTTCCACACTCGGCTGGAGCCCACTCTTGGTACGTGTATGCACTTCTAGATTATCTCGAGAATCCCTGTCTCTATGGGAACAGCGAGTTTGCATCAGAAAAGATCTAAAATTCCAGACTCCATCACTAGGCCAACTCACAGGCCAACACGTAACTCCACTTTCTTGAATAGGAATAAAATGCACACACTCCATACTGAGTTAAGAAGACCAGTATCGTGCAAACTCTGTAATTTAAACCACTTTATGATGATGTGCTTCAAATTTAGAGAACTTTCCGTCCCCGATCGGAACAAGTTCATAAAAGATTACAATTATTGTAGAAATTGTTTGGCGTGCTCTCATACCGAGAGAGATTGCAAGAGCAATTTTACATGAGTCTACTGTCAAAGAAGGCATTACTAACTCCTCCATTACTCCAATAATAGTCAAACAGCAAACAATCAAAGATTCTCAAGAAAAACTGTCACATCCCAAGTGGCAATTGACGAAGAACGGTCTACAGGGGCCTCTCAACAGGCAGCAGAAACGTCAAACTCTACTCAAAAAGGGGATGATAAAATTCTTCCACACTTCTTCAGCAGTAGAGAAAGAACATTTTTTCCCACAGCAATCATCCCGATTCTTCATAAAGGAGAAGGGTCGCAAAAAACCTTCAGAACCTCTCGAGTGCAAAAATTACTCGGACTTCTAACAACAAAAACTCATTACGAGATTTTAGGAATGGGCGGACACACGGTACAAAATTCAAATAAAAATTGTTCATTAACAATAGGTTCCAACGATAGCAAAATCAAAATCGCATCTCTTTCCACAGTTAACCCAACTTTTGCCGTCATTTAAGATCACATATCTTGATATCAAACGATATGCATCACTACCTTTAGCAGATCCTAGCCGCTTCGCTCCAGCAAAAATCGACATAGTAGTCGGTAGTGATATCCTACCAAAAATACTAGTCCCGGGCATTAAAAACGACATCGGTGGAAGCCTCATAGCCGAGAATACCATTTTTGGATGGATATTAAGCAGAACTGTAGCACAACCGATTACTTCATTCAGTACTCAAGTAATCGAGACCATGGCCGACCCCTTAGGTGATCAGCTAAAAGAATTTTGGGAAGTGCCAGAAGCCCAGACACAGACAGATGAAGCCACTATCTGCGAGGACGTCTATCGGAGTACCACCTACCGGAAAAATGATGGTGGTAAAACTCCCCTTCAAACCTGAATTTCCCAACTCGATGGCTTTAGGTCACTCAAGACTCTCAGCTCAGCAGCAATACATCAGCATCGAACGAAACCTGGAGATAAAACCGCATCTCAAAAAAACAATGCAGAGGTCCTAGAAGAATACCAAACACTCGATCATAATACAGTAACTCTCTCACTCAGGTCTCTCCCTAAACGACGTACTGCATACAGGCCCCATACTGCAAAAAGATCTTATGCTCGTAATAATCACGTGGCGGATCACTGTAAAACGAAATTCCCGAAACACATCTCCTAGACTCAGACTTTCTGCAATTTCATGATACAAGCACTACAAAAACTCTCGGATTTAGATGGACCCCCTTCCTGACACAAACACTGCCACAAAAAGGCAAATGTTGTCAGCAGTCGCGAAGCTTTTTGACCCGGCAGGATGGCTATCGCCTATAATGATAACTGCCAAAACTCTACTTTCAACAGCTCTGGATGGAAGGAACAGACTGCGACACAATAGTCAAGCCACTCTCGCTTCTCAAATGGAACTCGTTTCGGAATAATCTCATGGCTATCACCGAAATAAGGATTCCACGTTAGGTAGAACTCTTCCAGGAGGTGTCATCCAAATACTGACGCCTCCGCGCAGTACGCCTTTGCGCGTACGTGTATCTACGCGCTCAGCACAACGGATCAACGACATCCCACTTACTCGCTGTCAAAAGCAAAGTTGCTCCCCTTAAAACGGTTTCACTTCCGAGACTGGAACTCTGTGGGGCATTACTTTTCACAAAGTTAGTAAAGCATATACAAACTCAACTTGATCTGCCACCTCACAAGCTAACTTTATGGAGTGAATCCTCCATCGTACTAGCATGGTTGGAAAAACCTCCATGGACATGGAAAGCATATGTGTCCAATAGAATCTCTGAGATCTTACAAAACGTGAATAACGCTATTTGGCGACACGTCCCCACCTCCCAATATCCAGCCGATTTAGGTACGCGTGGTATCAAACCCAAGGAGCTTTTTAACTCCCCTCTATGGTGGTCCGGTCCAAAATGGTTAACCAAACCATCAGAATTCTGGCCAAAAACTGGCACCACGCCGAAAACGCCGATCTGTTGGAACGCTTCTCATCCTATCCAGGGGCCTGCCTCTTCCTCACGCTGTATGACCCAAGCAAAAACGTTACTTATTCGGAACGCTCAGCATTAACACTACGGTAATACGATCTCCACTCTCTCAGCATCCAAACCAATCAATAAGAAGGTCCCTCTCTTAACGCTCAACCCGTTCTTAGACAAAGCAGGGGTGTTACGCGTGAATGGACGTCTCAGTTACGATGCCCTTAGCTTTAATGAGCGCCATCCGGATCATCCCGAGCGACTCAAGACTCTGTACTCTCATTCTCGCCTTCCCACACTCGACCTTACTTCATGCCGAAAAGCAATTGATGATTCGGATGATCCAACAAGAATACTACATCCCCCGTTTGAAGCAGAAAATAAAAACCTGCATTTTCCATTGTAAACCTTGCACCCTATATAAACAAAACACGAAGTCACAAATGATGGCAGCACAACCCCCGAGCGCATAACCTACCCACTTCCACTTTAAACCACGCTGGTCCCTTTCTGGTAAAAACGTCAACTCTCCGAACAGCATCATAATCAAAGGCTTATGTTTGTGTTTTTGAACACCCAGTCGTTTAACGCTATGGCAAGCTCAACCGATGTTGAGAGGCTAGAATTTATCTTCTTGTTAAAATAACCTCGTTTTTCATTTCTGATAACGAGTGTCGCTCTGTTTAGAGACGATTTAAATGTATTCCACTTCTATAACGTGGGCTTGTCTTTCCATATGGATTGAAGTTTATTTCGTAACTTGATTGATTTCGGAGAGTTTGAGGTAATCCATGGACAGGACCGAGACCTATCAGTGATTGCACGGAGGGGGACAAGACTGGCAGACTTTAAAATTCCCATTAAGAAAATTACTTACAAAGGAGTTCCGTCAAGAACACAGTGCAAGGCAAAGCCGGTGTTGCTTCGGCCCAGGATTATAACTCAAAGCGCGGCCGAAGGCCTCCAACTTACAAAGAAGTTTCGCTCAAGAATACTGTGAAAGGCGAAGCCGTTGTTGGTTCGGCCCAGGGTTACAATCCAAAGCGCGGTCGAAAAGTAAAGTTTGCCCCAAAAAAAGGTGCAAGTGCAGAACACCGACTCCTCGCCCAGGGGTGGAGGTTGTTAGGAATATTTGAATAAATTTCTTGTGCAAATTAATATTATGAGCGCAAGATGGTGTTAAAGGCTATATTTCAAAAAATACTTAACCGATTTATTGCTGAGACCAAAGAACAGGTAATTAAAACAACTTTTTATTTGATATGCATATATAAATATGCTTTAAAGCTTTAAACAAAAAGGATTTTTTCAAAACTATTATTTTATTAAAAAAGTTCCATTTTAAACCTATTTAAAATAAGATTTATTAGTTAGAGTCCAAAATTACCTTTCTTTTGCTGTACAACTTGTTATAAGAAATGCCTGAAAAAATTTATTTTATTTATTTATTTAATAATAATACTAAAGCATTAGTACAATAAGATTCACAAATCTTTGTTTAGTACAACAGAGATAGTGTGAAGAATAAGTAAATATTACTTTACTGATACAATAACAAATATTTATACAATTATTAAATGGTAAATTTGGCCTTAAAATTGCATATATATGTGGTTCATGAAATTGCTTCTGCTTCATTTTCTCCTCAAATTAGCAGAAAGAGAGTTTCATAATCTACTAGCATTGACAAAGAGTAGCCTTGATGATTGCTGTGATTTATGAAAAGATATTATAATTTTACCTCCTCTTGCGAACCGAGTAAACGATAACTTGAAAAAGGATAGCTAGGAGATTGAGTCACGAGTTTGCAAAGAAAAATACAATTTCTGGCTTTATGATAGTCCGCAATTATACATCTCAATCTGATCTTTCCAAGACTACATGTGCTCATATTTGGAAAGACCAAACACATACCGTGTGACATTATTAAACATAACATCAATTTTACGTGCAGACGCACTGGCATGTTGGCTGTATACGACCTCAGAGTACATGCTAACCCGAAGGATAATATGCATAGCAAGTCGGCGTCTGGTAGCAGTGGGTGTATAAATAGCTGGCTGCATAACATTCCTCAGAATGCGATAGACCTTACTAACAAGGGAACTTACATTATCCGTGCATGTTATATTAGAGTTAATATTGAATCCAGAGTTTTTAATCTTGATGACTAATTTTAAGGGACAATTGTCTATGAATGTTGGGGACAAAAAATCCAGATTTGGCAGTTCTCTAGCACTGATTGCCAGCAGACGGCACTTGTGTTTATTTAAAATTACACCGCTAGCAGCCGCCTAGCTAATGATATCAGAAGAGTCAGTATAAATGTTTTTACATAGCTCATTAGCTTGATTAAAAGGTGCAGATAAATAAAACTAAGCTTACAATTCGTTCATTTGCTAAGCCAAAAGCATCTCAGAAGTTTAAGACAATACAAGGAGGATGCTTGTTGGTCGAAAGTCAGACGGACTAGAAAGATGGTTCTTTTTAGCAACAGCTAGTACAGTGCCAGTTTCCATTTCTCAGAGAAACAAGACGTGGTAATACAATGATTAATAATGTACAAGGTAGTATAATTTTAATAAATTTTATTGGTAAATCATCATGTCCGATTGCATTAGATGAGCTTTTATATTGGGTGTATGCATTAATTCGTGCGATTTTTTGTTCGAAAACTAAAATTTTATTGTGAAAAAATTGTTCTGCATTTAATGTTCAAAGTATTTTCTAACGGAAGCTACTATGTTTGCCCATCTTTCTGGCAGTTTGTGGATCCCATCGCAAAAGAACTTCTCCGGCTTGGAGGTCAAGAAAGAATCGAGCCAATTTTTGATACCCTGTTCTGAAGTGCAGCGTACTACGGGCATTCTGCATTGATCTGAACAATTGGTAAACGAAAGGTGCTATGTCTGGGCTATTAGGCGGGTTAGGTAGAACTTCCCACCACAGTTTTCTAAATAGTTTTTAACTGGCCTTGCAATATGTGGCTGTCACGCTGTCACGATGAAAAATTATGATTCGTGTCTGGTCGCATATTCTGGTCGTTTTTGTTTTAGGTAGAGGTTCCCATTGATCGTCTGACTCGATTTCATAATAGAGCACACTTTTGTGATCCCATCAAATACATAGCATAACCTTGACACCATGGATATTCGGCTTTGCCGTGGATGTCGATGGTTGGCCGGACTTCACATACGATCTCTGGCGCTTTAGATTATCATAACGAACCCTATTTTCATTGCCAGTGACAATCCGATGCAAAAATGGCTTTTTTTGGTGGCGTTGATGACACATTTCTGACATGCAGAATCGACGTTGAATGTCTCTTTTCTTTAACTCACAAGGCGCCCAATTTCCAAGCTTCTGAATCAATCTTAATGATTTTAATCGTCTGGAAACGGTTGCTCGATCAACTCCTAATACTTTTGCAAGTTCTTCTTGCGTCTGGTTTTGCATCTGCGTTGAGCAATGTCTTCATTACTGGACCCATCAGTGATTGTAAGAAGCGAGGCATGTCTCTCTAAGGCAAACTTTATAATTCCCATTAAAAATACAGTTTCTCATGGTTAAAGGATATACCCAACTATCGCTCCAGTCTACACATATTTTTTTACATTTGGAAGAAAACTTTGGAAAAAAATTTAGAAATAAAAATAAACAAACATTTTATTTTATAGAAAAGCTAGTTTTTTTTTTTTTAAATTTATGATAAATCCATCTTAAAACAATATTAATTAAAAAGATTATAAAAATATCTTTAAGTTATTGTGTAACACTTTGCAGTCTTTTTAACAACGCGAAAAATTTCGTTTTAATTGTGCTAATAACGAGCACTAACCATATTCATACTCGTAAATTTACCTAGTTAGTAAAAGTGTTTCACTCAAGAATACTGTGCAAGGCGAAGCCGGTGTTGGTTAGGTCCAGGTCTATAATCCAAAGCGCGGCCGAGGGCCGCCAACTTACAAAGGAGTTTCGCTCAAGAATACTGTGCAAGGCGAGGCGGTCGAAAATGCTATTGTCTAAGAAAACTTATATTGCACGTTTAATATCAAATTAAGGGCTTTCTGAAGTAATGCCTTAAAAAGAAAAGTAAAAGTGAAAAAAGGAAGATGAATTGAGAAAAAAGCCATAAAAAGAAAAACAAAAGTGGAAAAAAAGGTAAATTTAAAAAAAAAGCCTAAAGAAGAAAATGAAAAGAAAAAGCAGGTAAACTGAAAAAAGCCTTAAAAAAGAAGATGAAAAGTGAAAAAAGAAGGTAAATTGAAAAAAGTGCTTTAAAAAGGAAATTAAAAGTGAAAAAATGCCTTAAATAGAAAATTAAAAGTGGAAAAAGAAGGTAAATTGAAAAAAAGCGTTAAACGAAAATTAAAAGGGAAAGAAAGGAAGATAAATTGAGCAAAAAGCCTTTAAAAAGAAAAATAAATGTGGAAAAAGAAGGTAAATTGAAAAAAATGCCTTGAAAGGAAAATTAAACTTGAAAAAATGGAATATAAATTGAAACAAAAGCCTTAAAAAGAAACATAAAAGTGGAAGAAGAGGGTTAATTGAAAAAAAGCCTTCAATTGAAAACTAAAAGTGAAAAAATAAGGTAAAATGAAAAAAAAAACCTAAAATAGAAAACTAAAAGTGAAAAAAGGAAGGTAAATTGAAAAAATAGCCCTTAAACAGAAAATTAAAAGTGAAAATAAAAAGAAAAATAAAAGTGGAAAAAGAAGGTAAATTAAAAAAAGGCTTAAAATGATAAATTAAAGTGGCAAAAAGAAAGTGAAATGAAAAAAGGCAATAAAAAGAAAATAAAATCGCAAAAAGAAGGTAAATTGAAGAAAAGCTTTAAAAAAGAAAAATAAAATTGAAAAAAGAAGGTAAATTCAAATAATGCCTTAAAACGAAATATAAAAGTGGAAAAAAGAAGGTAAATTGAAAAAAATACTTTAAAAAGAAAATTGAAAGTTAAAAAAGGCCTTAAAAAGAAAATTAAAAGTGAAAAAAGAAGGTAAATTTAAATAATAGCATAAAAAAAAATTAAAAGTGAAAGAAAGGAAGATAAATTGAGAAAAAAGCCTTAAAAAAGAAAAATAAAAGTGGAAAAAGAAGGTAAATTGAAAAAAAGCGTTAACAAGAAAATTAAAAGTGAAAAAAGAGAACTAAAAGTGGAAAAAGGCCTTAAAAAGAAAACTAAAAGTGAAAAAAAGTAAATTGAAAAAAATAGCTTTAAATAAGAAAATTAAAAGTGAAAAAAAGTAAATTGAAAAAATAGCTTTAAATAAGAAAATTAAAAGTGAAAAAAGGAAGATATATTGAGAAAAAAACTATAAAAAGAAAAATTATGGTAAATTGGAAAGCCTTAAAAAGAAAATTACAAGTGAAAGAAAAGAAGATAAATTGAGAAAAAAGCCTTTAAAAGAAATAACAAAAGAGGAAAAAGAAGGTAAATTGAAAAAAATGCCTTGAAAAGATAATTAAAAGTGAAAAAAGGGAAGGTAAATTGAAAAAAAGGCCTTAAAAAGAAAATTATAAGTGAAAAAAAGGAAGATAAATTGAGCGAAAAGCCTTAAAAAGAAAAATAAAAGTGGTAAAAAAGGGTAAATTGAAAAAAAGCCTTAAAAAGAAAATTAAAAGTGAAAAAAGACCTTAAAAAAGAAAGTAAATTAAAGAAATGCCTTAAAAAAGAAAATTAAAAGTGAAAAGAAAAAGAAAAATAAAAGTGGAAAAAGAAAGGAAATTGAAAAAAAAGCCGTGAAACGAAAAATAAAAATGGAAAAAAGAAAAGAGAAAGGCTATAAAAAGAAAATAAAAGTGAAAAAAGAAGCTAAATTAAAAAAGGCCTTAAAAAGATTATTTAAAGTGAAATATAAAAAAATAAAGTAAATTGAAAAAAGCTTTACGAGCCCTGACCACTATTAATTCGCACGGCTGGTGTTTTTACGCATATGCAATGTTTAGCATACAATATATGTGAAGATGATGCAGACAACACATATAAACATATATTTTTCTGAAAGATAATTTTATTCTCTGTTTGATGGAAAAAACTTTTTGGTGTTGTTTAGCGTACAAACCCAACAGCATTTATATACATACACTATTCTTATTATTGTTTCCAAACACTTGACCACTATTATTTCGTACGCTGCGCTAGCTTCGCTCAAAAGTGCGAGAAGAAGTATTAGCATATAAAAAAAATAGAAATAAAATTCAAAGGACAGAAATTGTGTTAGTGTAAGTGGCAAGCGCGCGGTGAACGCGGCACGTGCGCAGTGTAAGCGGTCAAGCGAGTAGTGTAAGCGGTCAAGAGCGTAATGTAAGCCACCAAGCGCGCAGTATTTGCGGCAGGCGCGCAGAGCAAGCGACAAACACGAAACGCGCGTAGTAAGCAGCAAGGCCACTACCAAAGGCCGAACTGTGCAACAAGTTCGCCA